AGGAGGCGTTACTTCTGTAACTCATAAAAAAGTAGTTAACTGATAATTTTCACCGGCATATTTGTCAAATACTGGAACCAAGTTCCTACCTGCAGAGTTTGTGGTGAAACCGGGCACTTCAAACAGAATTGCACTCAAAGTTTCAATCCCAAACTAGTCAGGTATAAGAATACAGAGCAAAAAAAACCAGAAGTCACTGTAATAAACGATACACAAAAACACAGCGAAATAAACAATGAGAACAACAATAATGAAGAAAAAATGAATACTGAAAGAGAACATGAAGACCAAGAAGAACCAAAAAAACAACAAACACAAAGCACTCCAGCTGTAGACTATACAGAAGAAAAACCTGCTGAAGAAAATCCATCGAAACCAGCTTTTCTCCAAGCTGGTCTCTTCGGAAACTTGTCTGGAATAAGTGACAGTGATGAAGAAAATACAACAGATGGCATAACACCGCCAACAGATAGTTCAAAAAGTATTGACAAAACGATCCCACATATTGCTTAACCTGATCACAGTACAAGCCAACCACCTAACAAGAATCGAAAAGGAACAACTAAGTCTCGATCTCGTTCCCCAAAAAAGAAAAAAACTTTGTCTATGAAACAAGCTAACGAACTATTACAACAGATGGGTGAAGAGAAATATCCCTCAACCAGATTACAAACCTCCCAAAACCTTTAGTAAATCAAGTTAGTCAAATATACTTAATTCATGGTGGTTTATCTCACCATACTCACTCTCAATGTCAAGGGTCTAAGAGAAGATATGAAACGAAAAAACTTATTTCAAGAACTTTCAAAATGTAAAGCAGATTTGCTATTCCTCCAAGAAACTCATAGCACACCGGAAGTTGAATTAAAATGGAGTAGAGAGTGGTTATGGGGACACAGCTTATGGAATTCTGCAACATCCAATTCAAGAGGAGTTGCAATTTTAACAATGTCAAAATTAGCCACGTTTGAATTTGAAAACACCAAATGGGATAATACTGGAAGAGTGATTACTACTGATATAAATGTATTTGGAGAAAAAATGCATTTTGTTAATATATACGCACCATGTCGAACGAATATCACAACCCAAGAACTATTTTATAAAAACATATACAGATTTGTAAATACCCAATATCCCATTATATTAGGAGGCGATACAAATTGTGTCCACGACCCTGAAAGAGACCGATCTACAACTGCAAAAAGAAGTAGGAGAGAATATGTCTCGGAAGCTCTTAATGAACTTGTAAGAAGCTTTGACATGATAGATTCTGTAGAATGTTTCCCCAAAGCTCCTCCATTTTATACATGGAGAAATAATTCAATACAAGCGAGACTTGATAGAATTTATTGTTCTGCAAAAAATTGTAATATAAAAAATTTTGATTGTAAATCTACTTACTTGTCTGATCACAATATCTTCTCAATTCAGTTAGAAATAAACCAAACAAAAGATGAAAGAGGTAAAGGCTACTGGAAAAATAATGCATCAGTGTACGACAATCAACAATTTAAAAATGAACTGAAACACAGGTGGGCAAACTGGAAAACATTGAAATTCTTTTTTGAGAATAAAACAAAATGGTGGATTGAAATAAAGAATAAGATCAAAGAGTTGAATGTTTGCTACTCAGTGAAATTGGCTAAAGAAGCTCAAAATGAGTACAACAACGAAATGAACCAATTACAAGAGTTAGACATGGGAGAAAGAGTTCTCACTCAATTTAACAAAATGAAGCAAAATTTGGCTAAAAAACAAAAAGAAAGAGATAACAAGATTCGAATACAAAACATGGCAGATTCCTATGATAATCAAGAAAAATGTACCAAATCCTTCTTCAAGAAATTAAGAAAGAAGAATAAAGAAAAGTCCATTCAAAAGTTAAAGAACAAGGATGGAATTATCCAAAATAAATTGGGAGACAAAATGCAAATTGTACAAGATTTTTACCAAGAACTATTCAATAAAAAGACAACGAATGAACAAATTCAAAAAGAATTCCTCGATGCAATTCCAGTCGACACAAAAATTGAAACTGCTGATAGTGATATGTTGCAGAAAGACATTGAACTCGAAGAAGTTTCAGAAGCAATTAAAGCAATGAAAAACAACAAAACACCTGGTCCTGACGGACTCAGTGTAGAGTTTTACAAGCAATGCTGGGATATAGTGGGTCAAGATGTTTTCGAAATAATACAAGAAATGTTCGACAAATCGACCATCCCAAAAGAAATTAAATTGGGATATACGACTTTAATATATAAAAATGGAGAACAAGAATATAATGAATTACAGACCAATAACTCTATTGAACACTGACTATAAAATATTTACAAAAATTATAGCCAACAGAATCAAAAAAGTACTACCAGAAATCATCAACCCTCATCAGACAGCAGTACCAGGACGGAAAATAACGGACACATTATTTATTTTAAGAGATTTATGTGCTCAAGAACAACATAAATCATATGAATCAACACTAATATAGATTTTAACAAGGCTTTCGACTCTGTAGACTTAGAATACTTGTACAATGTTTTGGAAAAGTTTGGGTTCACAAGCAAATTCTTACAACTTACAAAAGATCTCTATTTGGATGCAGAATCAAGGATTCTAATAAATGGATATCTCAGCGGAAAAATAAAGCTACAACGAGGTGTAAGACAAGGTGACCCATTGAGTTTACATATGTTCATCATTGCAATTGAACCGCTGCTATGTTATATTAACAAATGTAAAGAAATTCATGGAATCATGACTCCTACAAATAAGGAAATTAAAAGTCTGGGATTTGCAGATGATATTACGTTAACACTGAGAAATCGTAAATCAGTCCAAAATGCGTTAAACAAGATTGTTCAATTTGAAATTGCTACTGGATTCAAGCTTAATACAAGAAAAACAAAAATTAATGAAACTGGGATTATGGAAAAGCAATTTTCATACAAGCTATCAACAGTTAAAGAACTAAAAGTGTTAAATGTTACATTTGCGAACTACAATACTAGTAAGAAACTAATTGGACAAACTGCTTGAACAAAGCAAAAAATGAAATTGAAGATTTATGTGATATTCCACTCACTTTCGATGGAAAGTGTTTAGTAGTAAAAATGAAAATACTTCCATTATATCTATACTGTGCCAAAATATTTCCAATGGCATTATCAATTAGTAGAGAAATCAATGATGAAGTTGTTAAATTTGGTGGTAAGAAGACGTTATTAAACATTGAAACATTAAGTAAAGAAAAACCATTCGGTGGCTATGACATCATAAACATTCCAATTTTTACAATGTGTTTATATTCAATGACTGCATTTGATTATTACAGTGAAAGAATGGGAAACATCCCAAGTAATGATAGAAAAACTATAATGGATTATACTGAAACTAACATTGGACATCAACTGAGTGTGTTCTTTAGGATGTCGTCGAATAACAGTGTTTTACATAAATTTGTTCCTAATCAATTTTATAAAGCTATTCTTGATTTCATCAGGACAAATAATTTGATACCAAATGAATTTATTCAAGGTAATCATAGAGTGCTCTACAATAAAATCGTTAATTCTTTAAATGGTTCTAGATTAGTGTTTTTACGTGGTGGAAGTATAGAGAATTCATGCAAGAGTATTCACAGGAAAATACTGCCAAATTATTTGAAAACTTTTGATTACAAACTACAAATTTTTTTCAGATTTTCATGAAAACATTATTGTATTACTTATATCAATAACAAGATATAAGATCTGGTTAGGAAGAAATGCTGTTATATTTCAAAAAAAGATACCTAACGCTCAAACAGTCATAAAACAGATATAAACTTCAATAACATGTCGGAGAAATATAGAAAAAGTTCGAAAATTACCAAATTTCATAAAGGAATTAGAATTTTTAACCAACTGTCTGTGATTATATTTTGAGTAAATGTATAGTTGCTAATATTTTTTTTTTTTTATGTATAACAAATAATGCTTAACTAATGTATTATTAACTTGTAAACATCTTGATATCACTGAATTGATATTACGGATTATATATGGATTATTGAACATTGGAATACTGAAAAATGGAAACTACGTCGGATATTATGGATTACGATTTGGGTACTAATGATTTTAAAAATTTTTTTCCCCATTATTTCTATGATTATTACTGTATCACATTTAACACATTTGTGAGCGTTTTAAAAAAAAAAAAAAAGTATCGTATATAGCAATTTTAGTTGAGCACTAGCTCATAAAACGTTGTTGATTAGGTACGGTACGGCAACTCCCAAGGACAGAAGGAAGGCTCGCTAGACCCAGAAAGATATGTTCCTCTACACTAGATGTCTATGTTCTTGATGTAGGATTGTAGGGATAAACGTTGGGATAAACAAACTGCCAGCTGTAGGCTAAGTGCGTTCGTCTCGAAGTTAGAATGGCGTTTGTTTATCCAGTTATCGCTGCGTGGTGTGATTTTGGGAATCTCAACTGCCTGGTACAGTAGTCTGGTAGTAGGCCTACACTTTCAGATTCAGACCTGTAGGGTTTATATATAATTTTCCTGTGGGAGAGAAAAGACGGGACGAGTCGGCTTGATCATATGGCAGTGTGGCGAACCACGGCCTCTCGTCGGTTACGTAAGCTCAAAGGCTGACGGCTAACTCGCCATGAACCACTCGCCATGCGACGGCGGTTAACGGGTTAGCCTGCAACTGTGCGGAGGCTCTTCTTGTAATGGGAGATGGAAAGGTACCGGTACAGGAATACCGCAAAATAATATAAATTTTTATAATTCAAAAAAATGTATGTCAGACGCGAAATGAAATGCTCGACAGACACATTCATTTAAAATCAAACTAAATAGGTACTGTCTCAGTATGTCCTATGTCAAATCGGATGTATCGTTCGTGCGAGACTGCCTTTTATTTGATTTTCATGTAATTCCATTTAAGAATAATTTAGTCGCATTAAATGATTTTAATTTTTGATTTAATTATCATAATTAATTATATACTTTTATTCTACAGATCAGGTTATATACTAGCTGCATTTTTTGTGTTTGGACAATGTCTTGGATTGCAGATTTGGCTGGAAAAGCAGAATCTCTGCTGAACAATATCGATCAAACAGCAGCTGGTGCCATCAATGCAAATGATACACTATCAGCATTGAAGCCATCTCCTTCCCCAAAACCAAGTAGAAGAAAACCTGAATCACCGATAAGTTACAGACACTCTATTGCTCAAATTGATTACACAGAGCAGTCACCTATCTCTGTACCAGGGGAGATAAAAGCAAGCAGAAAACCATCCTTTACAAAACTTGAATCTGTCAAAGAAAAAACAAAACCGAGTGTTAATAAAAAAGATACTGATGCTGCATTGTTTGATTTCTTAAATAGTAATGAAAAGTCTTCCCCTCGCTCCACAAGATCGAAAACGACAAAAAGTGGAGTTCAAAAAAGTACTAGTTCCACTAGTTTGGCGTCTTCCACTGGACAAATTGAAAAACCAAAACGACAAGAAAGCAAAATAGATGTAACTTCTCAAAAAGCTGAGGAAGCTCAAATATTACAAGCTCCTCAATTAGCAGCTTTTCACATTTCACGTAGTTCTAGTATTGATTCTGTCAATTCAAAAGGTGCTGTGAATAAATCGACAAATGATAATGGTTCAAGTTCCTCAGAGCCTAATGAGGCATTTTCCGAAGCGGGTATGTTGGCAATAGTTTTATATATTACTAAGATTCTGCATACCAAGTTTCAATCACAAAAACTGCTACACTTTATCTTATTAAAATTTACCAATTGATTTCATATATGAAATGTCAGTACTTTTTAGAGAACGGGATGATAATGCTCTTTGCTATGCTCGATATATTTGGTATATGTCATTCGTTCACTGCTTCGTGGCTCAATTTAGAAAATAAGACTGTGAGGCAGACATCTATTTATATATTATTCAAATTTGGTCATCCTAAATTTGTACTAATATTTTATACGATTATGGAATATTTTTAGCTGATAACATTGGCGAATTGGGGAAAATCTCAATATAGGCTATGTACTGGTAATAGAATTTGACTTTGAGTGGGTACTATTTATCTGTCTATAAAAAATTTTCTGCATATCAGTAAGGGGAAGACGTGAAAAAAGACGTTTGAATGAATTCTCAACTAACAATATTCAACTGCTTATATTTTCTTATTTCAAGATATGATTTCTTATCCCATTGACTCGACAGCTTCCGAGAGTGAGTTTGAGTTAGTAAGCAATGCTGCTGCGAGTAGCAATCCAGCATCTGAAAGAGACTCGGGAGAAGAAGCATCTACTGATACAGCAGACAAAAGTCTGATTACAAGTTTAAAAATGGAAAATCGAATGTTACAGAATGAAATAAAGGCTTTGCATCAAGAAATGAAATCATTGAGTGAAAGAAGTATTCGCTCTAAAACAGGTTTTGTTCTATTTTTTTTTTAAATCAGAAATTTGCCACTTGTTGACAACGGGAGTTTCAAGTCATGAACATTTATGACAAATTTTTGATTTTGCAAATCAAGATGTTTTTAAATATTCAAATTCCATATATGAAAAGTTAAATTTTATATTCATATTTTTACATTTAATATTTCCCATATAACTTTTTCATTGCCGTCATGTATCATTCTTGATTTTTATCTGAACGCAGAGACTGAGAAGCGAGCCAGTGATTTACAGCGTAAATACGATGACATGATGGAAAAATATCATGTGAAAAATTCACAAATGGAAGCAATGAATATTGAAGTTAACGACCTGGACAATGAAAATAGAACATTGAAGCAAACGATAAAAAATCTTCAGAATGAGCGAGAGAGGTAAGATGCCCAGTTAGGCCCTTCCATTCAAATGCATTTGGCAATCAATCATATAAAAGAAAACGATAATTTAAGGGAAAAGGATAGTCATATGGAAGATATTGGTTTATTATTTTTCATTTGTAAACAATTGGGGCAGGATTAATTCAAAATTGATAACAAGTAGAAAAATATTAGGCCTGTGAATATTTAAGACTGACAATATAGATTCGGAAAATATATTTTTACGTAAAAAGTGATTTTGAACTGCACTGTAAAAGTTTCTCCGATGGGTCATTTGTTCTGATATACCATTTCTTCACTTGAAGATAGTTTCACCTGCGAAAAACCTATTATTTTATTTTTTATACATATCACCCAAAATTTCATTGTTAGTTTTAATTTCTAGCAACTTGTTCACATGACAAATGGGAATACTTTCTTGTTTTATTGTAAGCTTTTTATTGTAATAGTGGAATCCCGGTGTGAAAAGCGACTTTTATTCTTGTTGCATTTTATATTTATTCAAAATTTGCAATCAATAGAATAATTGACGATCAGACTGCAGGATCTGGGATGCATGCTCAAGCTTTAGAGCAGTTGAGATCAAGATTAGAAGAAGCAGAATCAGCGTTGATTCGAGAGAGAGATTTTAATAGAACTTTGAAAGAAGATTCTCTCAGAGAAAGAGAAAAACAAGAATCGGAAAGCCGGAAACTTGCTGAAAAATCTAAGAAAAAGTGAAAGAGAAAGGCAAGCGGAGAAAAGTAAGATTCAACCACGAACTCTCTCTGTAAATAAAATACACAAGTGCAAATAGATATCAAATTTGAAATGTTTGGAGTTCAGGGCGCTCCAGTAGTATGTGTACCAATATGGATGTTACTAATTTTGTTCGCCTACTTTACATCAAGGAAACTAAAATAAGGAAAATTTCAAAATTTAGCATATGGAAACAATTTAATCATGCATTTTTATAATTTAGTCAATAATAAAAACTTTGGTTCCAAATTTTTGAATTTTCCTATATTTTTCACTGGACGAGATAGCCAATAGCAATGTACTGTGTCTCACTCCCGAATACCTGTCCTGTGTGTTGTCATTTTTTTGTATCATTGCAAAGTTCAAAAATATTATTCCTATTTCCTGATAACTTACATATTTTTACTTATTACATGAATTATTACAGAACGTATGGATGATATGTCCAAAGAAATAAATCATTTGCAAACAAGTCTGGCATCAAACAAACATGAGTTATCTGATTATAAACAAAAAGCATCAAGAATATTACAGGTATGCTGAGTAGGGATGGGCAATGTAGAATAATTTACTATTCTAGAATATTCTAGAATAGTTAAATCGAATCCAGAATACCGAATCCTATTCTATTTTCATACTTATTCAAATAGTGGGAATTCCCACAATGCTGGATTTAGATGTTAAAAAATTGTAAATTTATTACTATAAATGTATAATTTATTTGGAAATGTCCTGAACATTGGATTTCATATGATACTAAACAAGCATTTCCCAGGACAATAAAATTTAGGAAAATTACAATATTTTTTGCCTTCAAATGTTCCAATAATCCCTAAATACTGAAATGCTAAATTAAGACACGCTTTATACACTTTAACAGTAAGCGGTTAAATACAAAAATATGAAACGGCGTTAAATAATTTTCAATGTTAGTCTGCCGAGTATACTAAAACATACCCGCTGAGAATAATCAGGTGTAGGACCAGCGTGTGGCCACTGCATTCTATTCGGCCGTTGTAAAATATTAAATTTAACCACTATCAATCAAAATCAACTTTTTATTTCTGTGCGAGCAAGACTTGCAAAACAAAGCTCCCGTAAACGCGATTTCGTAGTTAGTTATTAGGTAATAACATCTAAAGACTAATTCCTTTTCTGTGATTATCATTACATAGCATTATCTACCCAGACTTGGCCTTATTTAAACTCAATACGTCACTATCTTCGCCAGATGCGGCAACTTTTTTTTAAGTTTATCGGCGACTGAAATACTACAGACACTCGATCAAACGTGCGTCTATCTTGAACGGTAGGAACGGGCGGAAAAATATGTAATCTTTTGAAAGTGAAATTCAAATGTGACAGATTTTCGCGTATTGCGAAATTCGGAAAATGGTGTACTTAGTTATTAGGTAATAACTTTTAAAGACGAATTCATTTTCTATGATTATCGTTACATATCATTATCTACACAGATTTGGCCCTAATTAAACTCAATACGTCACTATCTTAGCCAGATGCGGCAACTTTTTTTAAAATTTATCAGATCAAACGTGCGTCTATCTTAAACGATAGGAACGGACCGAAAAAAATGCATTGTTTTGAGAGTGAAATTTAAATGTGACAGATTTTCGCGTATTGCGATATAACTTTTGTATTTCGGAAAATGGTGTAATACAATTCGTAAATAATATTTGATCTAAATTTTTCGAAAGCAATGTTATAACATTTAACGCCTGGCTTTTGGTTTACATGCATCATTTTTTGGGAAAACTCGCAAGTCGCGAGATATAATTTAATGTAAAATGAAGCAAGGTAGTGAAGGTACATCTGTAAACAATTAAAGATTGTTGCAATCAGATTATCGGAATATTGCTAGTAAGTCGGCACAAATATTTATTAATATTATACGTTGGCTATTAGCAAATCAGTAAAACGCAAAAATGGTGCAATAACGAGTCTTCGCCGTGAGGTATATTTCGCCGACTTCTTGTCCTGAATATGCCGATTGAGATAACAGTGTTTGATGTTTACCGATTTTACGAGCAGACGCAAGTTATATTAAACGAGAGAGATTTCCAGGCGAGAAAAAACGCTCGTGAGATTTCCACGCGAGAAAAAACGCTCGTCTGATAAATTAGGAACCCGAAATACAAAAATTGACTCTTGGCGCCGGAGAGGCGGAAACCGAATCCTGTTATCGAATCCCGTTGGATTCGAATACTTTGGGATTCGAATCCTCCGGATTCGGTATTCTATATTGCCCATCCCTAATGCTGAGTTTCTCTTTAATAACCCTTCATTTGACATTGGGACTTCCATTAGGGATCATTACTTAACATCTTTTATTTCTAGCGTCATACAACCAAAGCAGCATAATAATTGGGGCGCCCGAGGTATGCGAACCAAGATGGCGGACATCGGAATGTAATATGTGTACTAGGTTAGGGTTAGGCCCTAATTTTAGGTATAAATACTACGGGAGGCTCTTGGCTAGTCTTCGAACTGATAATAGGACTAAAATAAGGAAAATTGGAAAAAAATTATCGCCCAATCCTAACCTGTTACCTATGTTACGTTCCGATGTCCGCCATCTTGGTTCGCATACTTCGGGAGCACCTAATAATTTTATCTTAATTGATACAGGTTTCCGCATTTACTGTAATGTTGGCTTTATTCCCATAATATCCCTGAATACACATGAGCGAACCATATGTACAGAGTGTCCATAAAGTCCCTACAATTTTCATTTTATTATTACCTAAGTCATTTCTCAATATATCTCAATAACCAGGTTTGTTGTATTTAAATCAGTAATTGTTTTAGTATTTTTATTTCATTCAATACATCTGTGAGGGCCAAAACAATATATGGTATCTATAAATTACCTTTCACTGCTTGGTATAAGCTTCCAGAATTTTTCAGTTATTTCAGAAAACCTAATAATATCTGAAAAATATTTTCTTCTATTTTCAGTCCAAAGAACGATTGATAGCAAGTTTGAAAGGAGGCAGTGAAATAGATTTAAGTGCATCAACAACAACATCGATAGAATTAGAAGAAATAAAACAAGAAAGGGATTCTCTAAAAGAAGATCTGATGACTGCCAGAGCGGAACTTATACAAATGAGACATGAATTTCAGGTGAGAAATAATGAAAAATTCTACTCCAATGATACGTAGGTATTATGTGTAATCACTAATCAGTCTAAGACATGAGAGTGCAAACACTTTTTGTTGGTTGACCATATAAACAATATCAGACATCTAGTCAGGCCACACAAAAAAAATTCAGTTTTTCATGTGGGAAAGATAAAGTGGCTACTGCTTAGCCTTGCAGTCATAAAAGCCATCGGCGGAATAAACTGTCAGATTAGGATTTTATGCTTGATTGGGAAAAATCTGAGTGTGGACAAGGACCACAATTATCGTTATAGTTATATTACCGGTAATTGAATTTATTATTTTTCTAGGACATGGAAGGCCAATACCAGCAAGAGAATTCAGTTTTGCAAGAAGAGGTCGAAGAACTGCGTAGAAATGTCGATGAAGAAATGAGAGCAAAACGAGAAGCTGAAGCAGATGTTGGAAGATATGAACAGGATTTGAGAAGATCAAAAGAAGAAGCAACGAGAGCACGAGCTGCTGCAAATGAACGACTTCAAGATAAAGATGAGGAAATCAAAAAACTTAGAAGTCAGGTATTGCCATTTTATTGAATTGTTTCGTAACAATGATGTTTCACGAATTGAATTATTCAGCCTTTTAATATAGTGCACAGAATGCATTATTTGGAAGTATTTTGGACTTCACTTCTGAGAAACAAATTATTTATCGAACGCCTGACAAAATATTAGATTACATTTGTTTGTATCTGATAACTATTATTAAATATCCTGCTATTGATCAACTGAAGGACTTAATTAAAATGTACAAGCTAGAAATGCATAAAGATTGTTGGTCATTGGTATATTGATGGTTTTTGGAAAAAGTCTTTCTCAATAAAATCATATAACACCATTATGATGTGTGTGACAGATAAAAGAGTCAAAGATTTTCGATCAATACAAATCATAAAACATGGTCTCAGCATACTGTTCTTACTGCATAGTTTACAACAGGGATGTGAAACATTTTTTGTCAGTGGGCCATATAACCAACTGCAGACATCAAGCTGGGCAGTTTTCCACGTACACAACGAAGTAAAAAATTTATCACAATGCAAGATTTAACGCAGTGATTAAAAAGCAATATGTATTTATACTCAAATGAGTCCTTCTTTAAACAAACTTCATGATTAGAATTTTCTGTTTGGTGGAGAAAAATCTTAGTGTTGACAAGGACCACACTAAATGACTTACAAGGTCGAGTTGTGGCCAATGGGGCGCCTGTTGCTCACCCCAGGTTTGCATCATTAAAAAGCACAGAATAAGATACTGTTTTTGTCACTTTTATTAGTATTAAAGTAATATGCCTTCCATACTTTGCATTTTATGACAGAGAATATCTTATAAAGTTTTTCTGAAATAATTCTGCAACGCTGATTGTATTCATTTTTAATCTGCAGTTAATGATGAAAAGTCGAAATGCACCTGATGAATCAGAATTGGAATCCAGGTTGCGACAACTCACAGAAACATTGATTCAAAAACAAACTCTTGTAGAGACATTGGCAACGGAGAAAAGCTCAATGGTTCTACAATTGGAAAGAGCTGAGGTACTTGCGTATATTTACTGAAATGGGTGACCTGGGCTGAATGCAACTACTCTTGGTATCTGGGTATTCATATCAATGTGAATTTTTTGCCCTCTTCGCACCACATCCATTAGTTGTTACAGTCTAACTTGGCAATTCGAAATTTCAGAACTTCATTCTTGGATACGTCCCTCATAGTAATATAGGTATAGTTGTCTATTGGAGGTTGGAATACTGCAAATTATCATTATTACACTATTCTGTTAGTTGGACTATCTCTACAATTGTTTCAATTATATTATACCACAAACTATTTAAAATGCAGGGACAAATCAAGAGACTTAGCCAAGAAAATAGTACACAAATACAAGCAGCATCAAACGATGGGGGTGAGAGTGCTGGTGTCCACAACAGACATACTGGCGGTTCTACAATGTTTAATTTTTCCAATGGAACTGATCATGGGGTTGTTGGTCATGTCAGAAAAGCGGCTTCAGCAGTTGATCGCTTCAGGTAACAAAATTTGTTCTTTGTTTATGATTTAATATGGCTGATGTTGGAATTTTAGCTTTCGCTTATATCACAACTATAAAACTAGAGTTGGAAATTGAAAATTTCTCTCGATTCAAGGAAGATGTTCAAAAAATTTGTCTTCAACGAAATTCAGAATTAATGTCACAGAAAAAAGACCATTTTGAATAAAATCACAATTTGTATTAAATTTTGTGACAATTTGGGATTTATCATGCTTTTTCTACAAAGTAAATCTGTTCAGATATTGAAATAGAGCCAGCATAATTACACCAATTCGCCACGCCTCCAAGCAAATGATTTTTGAGGTTAAAAGAAACATATATTGAAAAAAATCATTACTTAGACATAATGTTTACTATAGGACTACCATTTCATATAACATTTCCTGTTTTTAATAATAATATTTTATTATTTCACATTTGTAGTGTTCGACTCGGTGTGTTTTTAAGAAGATATCCGATTGCAAGGCTGTTTGTTATTGTTTATATGGTAAGTACTCAATTTAATGTCATCATATGAATGTTTTAGGTTTAAAACATAAAATTTGTGCTTAGAAGTGCAAATACACGATTTGCCTAATAAAAAGTGCACAATACCGAAGACAATTCTTTAAAAAATTTCCTAAAATAAGTCTTTCTGAATTAATGTTGTCATGATGAATGCAACAAGTAAAATCTTTTTGTTACGATTATAAAGAATATTGTTTTGGGGTTCAGTCGTCAGGGCTCAGTTTTAGGACGTGTGAGATGAGAAAACTGGTTTCAAATATTATAATTTGATTCTGCTCACAGTGTCATCATGATCAGTATAATTGCTTAGTGGATCAAGTCAGCCATGAACAAATTCATATTAAAGTATATTTCTGTCAAACAATTGTCAGTAAAATTGAGTCCTAAACTGGAAAAATAATTTTTCACCTAAAATTATATTCGTTCTATTGCAGGGTTTATTACATTTATGGGTTATGATTGTACTTCTCACTTATTCACCTGAAGTTCACGGACACGACTACCAAGGACATTTATCACAAGACGGTAAAATTATCGAACATCACGCAGAACATGGTCTACCCAATGATGGATAAAATTCATTGTTTTTAATTTATAAGAAGTTACCCTGTAGCATTTTATATTGACTCTTGCACTTTCTGGATAAATATAGTCAGTTTGGGTTACGGTGCTGACGTATTGGTATTTTTTTATGTATGTAAACAGAGAATACATGCTTTATCATAGATGTGATCACATGTAATGCTGCTTTACATTCCCAACTCGTATGCATCTGAGATGCATTTTATATGCATATGCTTGTATCTAACTTTATGAGTAATGATATGCCTGGCTATTTGCTGTGTAACTTTTGCATAAAGGCGTAACCATTATTGTAATTCTAACAAACTTTTTGTTCTGCCATGTTTATCCAGTCAGGTTATCAACAGTTGAACACACAAATTTCAAACCCTGTTTTTACATTCTATTACAGTAATGACACAATCTCTTTTACTATCATCATAAGTGGTGCCGTGGTCAAGTTTATTATTCGCTAATTTTCCTCTTCGCTGTATATTGTAATTTACGCCCATTCACCTATTACAGTAAAATAATATATTTGTGCAATAATAAAAGGTTTATTAATAAATGTTTTGTTTATTGGATTATCGTGGTCTGAGAACAGGTGGTGCAACGGGGAGGGAACTCTTGAGTTGTGAAGCTTGCATTCCTGTCGCAGTTCTTGGCATGTTTTTTATTGATCCGCCTGGTCGGTCATTTAGAGCCCACCCTGTCGAGTGACTGAACCTATTTGAGATAAGTTGAAACTTGACTTCATAACTTCGGTCCTACGCGGCTGATCATTGCGAACCATTTTGTGAAAACTAACCTGTACTGCATAAATGAGCTCAATCCCTTATCATTGAAGATAGAGTATTACTATTTTAATACAAGGTCCAGATATAGTTGTTAAAGTAGTTTGCATTAAATCAGAAGCTATCCATCAGGGACATAAAGAAATCAATACTTTTATTGTGGATTTCTCAGCAATGTGCAAATATTTTCATTCTATGTTGTTGTGAGAACCAGTTAAGTTATTCCTGTTGCTGTAAACTTTCATTTCATCTTCATTATTAGAATAATTATTATCTGCGTTGTAATCACTGATTATGATCAATCTATACTCGGTGACTATCCAATTATGTTGCCTGTTCTTTGTGTTTAGGTTAAGATGAGCTTTTAGTGTCTCAAAGCCATATTTTTGGTTATTATAAATCTTTTGAGATGGTAGGACCGACAGAACAAAAAATTTTTTTTTGCAGTTTCATGAATGGTGTTATCAAAATCAGTTGATAGGGTATATGGCTTGCTGAGTTCAGATAGACTTGCCACTGTTTCTCCAAGTTAGCTTCCTGAGAATGCTGTCTTCCGAGCAATTAATGAAGTCCAAGCAATGCTGCTTTTTCAGTTTTACGAGGGATGGATGTTTATCTGTTTTATTTAGCATTCATGACTAAATTGCAAACAAAGATATCTAATTATTAAAGAAAATGTAGGTAGTAGGCTTTGGGAAAGCTGACTACAGAGAGCGTCATTCATTGATAGAATTTTATATAGTCATCACACACATTCAGTGGTGTATTGTGTTTAGAGCTAGACATGGTTTTCTGAAATGATGGACTTGTTGTCAGTAAGAGAGAGATACAAAGGAGAACCCATTTTCAAAAATTTGAATCCCATCACTACCTAGGTCAACTACAATGATTTGTTATTCCTTGCTGGGATGATTTTGATAAGTTGAATATTTACAAGACACTGAAATCAAACCCATTTGCAGACAGACTGTAATTATCCCAATTTACAATTGTTCATCAAACAAAATTTATGAAATACTTTTATTTACAAATGTATCATCACAAATAGTTTTTTACTCAATTTATAAAATTTTCAAAACTCCAACTCAAAGATTATTTGCGATTACTAAATCTAATCAATAACGCAGTCGGCAAAAGTTATATTGGTCAAATATTCAGATTTTGTTTGAATTCATAGCATATCTGGCTAACATTATAAACAACAGCATGGTTGACAAAAATATGTACAAAATAAGGTACTCCCGATGTGTGTGTACCAGGTTAGGGCGTAATTTTATTCCGATTTTTTTTATTATTTTAGTTCTATTACGAGTATGGAACTGTTTGTGTTAGCCAAGTGAATATAGCCCCTTCCCGCCCGCGAAACAGCTTGAATAAGGCTATCATATGAGACCAATGTTTAAACTGAGTTTTCCCAATCATTGACGTAGTATGCTGAAAAACACCGTCAACTCCTAGGCAGTTTATTACAAGATGATTAATCGTCTTGGATTGAAACCAAGGAAACCTCAGTCTTAGCAACATGTTATTTATTGTGCACTAAACAAAAAAAAAATTATTTTGATAAATAACCTATTTCAATGTAATTACCAAGTTAGTTTTGCATCTTTTTTTGTAATGAGTCTGACTAAAGAATGTTCGAAAGGTTATGAACTGATAAAGATGATATGTTCTAACTAACATGTTTATCTCAAAGGCAGTGTGAAAAAAAAATTTAAACCTCACAATTAATTCTAAAACTATTATCTAAGTAATCTATAGTATAAAAATCGTATCCATGGCCCATTTCGATGAATGTCAGGTAGTACAAAATTTCAATAAAATGCAAATCACAATAAATTTTTTAAAGTTTGCATTAACATTTATTGAAAATTTTGGTCCATGTGCGATTATTTCAATAAATGTTAAGGTCTGGATAATGATTTACTAACTAAGATTAGGCCGCATTTCCATACACATAGATGCAAATGAGGGCAGGTGTTCAAAAATCTAGTGATTCAAAAAACTTGCCAACCCAACCAAAAATGAACAAATAACAAAATGTGAAAAAGGGAATAAGTTTGGTATGGTTTAAAGTTGAAACACAGCTTTATTTCAATCACTTAAAACAAATTTACAGTCTTCACAAGAAGACATATCAAATATAGGGTTATTAGGATCTTTCAAGAAAATATATTAGCAAAAGATATCAAGTTAAAAAATAGCATTAACATGATTATTTGACGAAACAATTTGAAATTTGTCTCCAATAAATTTTTGTGGACAAGGTGAGTTAAAGCCAAGTAAATATTGAATCCTTAGTACAAATGGGGTTGACTCATTGGTCTGTTAATGATTGCCGTGAAAAAAAAACTAATCCTAGCAAAATTGCATCTTTAAATGAACTTGTATGAACAAAATTCTAATGCGCAAACATTTCAAGGGAGATAGGTAGTAATTGAAGCTAAAATCGGAAATGTATGAAAAATATTCTGATCATCCCTAAATGTGTCAAAATTTTCAACATCATTTTTAACGTTTATCCATTGGTGATCTTTGGTATCTATATAATTGAAGTACTGGGTCAGCAGCGCCTTTGCACTTTTCACAAAAACATCAGTTTCTAAAGATATTCACCTATAGCAATACAAGATTGACTGATATAACCAAAATTGTGATATTGCTACATCAGTGGTTAAACCCAAGAAACAGAACATGAAAGCAGTATGTTTGAAAACTAATTCAATCACAAGTATGCAACTTTGGAATGATCTAAACACAACAGAAAAATAAAATGCCATGGTCTCGTTATGTGTCGGGTAGCAAAATATATCAATGAAAAGACCCTAAGTACGGAATGACCTATCTAAATGGATGAAAATCATACTAAAATAGAAATATTGACTTCACTGAATAGAATGCAAATATAGACAATATAACATATAGTAGTTTTGTATCAAAAGTAGCCAATTCATTTTCTTTAAAACTAAACAAAAATTGTTCACGGCACAATACATCAATAAACAACTGCAAACTAAAATTGCAGAAAATCACTTTAATTTCAGAAAAATGTATTTCACTGAATAGTCGTCTCTTGATGAAAAATAAATTCAGAATGTTTTAATTCTTGGCGAACTAAAACAAGCTATGCTCCCAACAATTCCACAAATAATAACCTTCAATAATGAAGAAAAACCTTTACGACATATTCCGCTAAAAAATCCTATACCAATCAGTCAGTGAAAGGCAAAAACACCTTCTGAGCAAACATTCATATCATTCTCAAAAATTTGAGGAACTTTGTCGACATAACATATTATGTCACTTGAAGGTTAAAACACGTATGGCACAATGCGGTAGGGAACTCTCCTACAGTATTCATCCCATGCACGACCATGAACTTCTTGACATCTGACTTCGTCACGTAGAGCACGATGAGATAGAAGGCCGAACACGAAGATGGCGTATATCCATGGAAAGACATCCGAAAAACCTAGGAAAGGAAGATAAAATAGCATTTTATACAAAATATAATTAATTTTTTGTAGTTGTATCTATATAGAGATGGCAAGTTTTTTGATCCCAAAAACAACACTTCAAATATTTCATATTTTTTTAAACTTACCACACATCAGCCCATATCCAATACCGAGGAGAATTTCTCCCAAATAATTTGGGTGCCTGACAAACCCCCAGTACCCGGATACAATCAGTCTTCTACCTCCTTTCCTGTATGGCGGGATGCTCTCCAGTGCTAAAAGATATAACATATATATATCAAAGACTAGAAATTGTGTACCAGGTTAGGGTTAGGCCATAATTTTATTCCGATTTTCCTTATTTTAGTTCTATTACGAGTTCAGAGACTGTGTCAGGCAAGTGAATATACCCCCTGCCCATAGGCTTCCGTCCCTTTATACAACTTGGTGAAAGTAGACGAACAAAATTAGTTACCTCCATATTGGTACATACACTTCTAGAGTGCCGAAATCTGAATATATACAAATACAATTAAATAACTTACCTGACAGACTTGGGTCGTATGGGTTTTGCCTGAAATAAGTCTTCTGGTATCCTGAAAGCAGAACAAGAGCAACGCCGAGAACTGTTTAAAAAAAATAGTATTAAAAAAACGTGTCAGGTAAATTGACAGAAATAAAAACATCACAAAATACTCTTCTTTACCCGAGCTTAATTTTAAAATACACTAACATACAAAATACAGGTTTTGATAGGGCTTTTCTTGAATATATAGCAGACTTGCAGTAAAAATGTCTCAATCGCTTTTCACATCTCAGTTCAGACAAAGTGTCTGGACATCAAACTGAGGAATGAGTCAATTTGTTGATTGTTACGCATGAAATATCAAACTGAGATCTCTACCAGTAGGCTGTGGATATGTCAAACCCTATAATCAACGAAACAATGAGCAACAACAAGAAAAAATTCAAATGAAAAGTGTTAGGTCTTCTCTGCCACTTCTCCAGTTTTCCTTACCTAATAGAGCAACAGCAGTAACCAATATAGGTGTTGGTATGAGGGAAGCTTTTGGATGTTCAACAAGGTATCGAGCATGCATTGTATAAATGTACGGAACAATCACAAGGTTGCCAATCAATGTTTGGAAACCTAGGCCTTCGTACTTGATGTCAAAAGTGTAGATTGTTTGTGCCTGAAATAACAAAATATGGTAATTTGGATAGTGTGATATTGAAAGATGCAAAACTTTGCTCGCACACATTTCTTCCAAGTTCAAATTATTGTAAGAATCGAGCCTTAATTGTATGCAAACATCATGACAATACTGTATACAGATAAAATCAACTACGTCAATTTATATAGAAACTGCTCAAGGCTTCACTGTGGCTCATCAGGCATTTCAGAAGTATAACTGGCTGTATATATTTACTGTTCAACTTTTTTCTGAAATTTACTTCTTACCTCATCCCAGAAGAAAACAAAGACGCAATAGAAGATCTGAAAACCAGAGACGACAGCCAATGATGGTCGAATTGTTCCGCTTTGTGCAAGCTCTTTTTGTAAGTATATGAGATTCATCAGAATCTGAAAAATGATGTTATGAGAATCAGGCACGTATATAAAATTGAGTTTTCACAGCAAACAAAGACCTTAATATGCAGCCACTGATACACTAGAAGCAAATATTATTGAGAAGGAACGAAATCATTATGGCATACCGGTATACTGCAACAAATATACTATTGTTATAGTGAATCAGGGCCAAACTTATTTTTTAAATTTCATCACCACTGAAATGTTAGTACATTTCTGCGATAATTCATACCACTAAAAAACATGACAGGTCACTTTGTGACGCTTGGCCCAGTGGTTTGCTATATTCCCATTTTCCATTAGCCCAATTATATATAATAATATTAAATGATAAAAAATAACAATGAAATACCCATGCAGTAACTCCAGGTCTGTAGACGAGAAGTTTCAGTTGATAATATCTTCCAAATCTAGGATGCAATTCTCGTCCCATGAACACATCGTATATCGTGCATCCTGTGTTCGCTCGAGGATTCAATTCAGATTCACTGGCAAAGTATGACTGAAACAAAATACAGGACGAATGTTATTTCCATTAAAATAGTTCTTGATCCTCAGAAAAAAGGAGACTGATCTCTGAGTGAAGTCAGAGGAAATCACTTAAGCAAAAAGCTACTGAGACTAAGAAGAGGCAAAGTGTAGAATTGTGAGTTACAAATACCAAGTGATACGAGAATCAAAGCAGTTAATGTCAATATGACCAAGACAGCCAGGAGATGATAAATTGGTAGGTGACAGTAAATGGGTGGGTTTGACGTCTGAAAGTTTCTAAAAATTTTGTGTAAATAGGTCGAATTTCAAATATTGTCAAATAGTAGGGCTGTCCAAGCGAACCAAATATTCGAAATCGAATCGAATCGCAAATTATTCGAATCGTTTTTCGGCTAATTTTCGAATCGCTAAAATTAGGTACCTGTACATAAAGCGGAAACCACCTTTACGGGATGTTTTTCATCGGGCAAGCGGCGGCGCTCCGAGCTCAGACCACTCTCGCTCCCGGCTTAATTGGTTTCCCGATATTTCTCTCGCCTTCATTTTGTGATAAACATGTCATTACTAATGCCCGCTCGGTGGCACGTGATTAGCCATTTCATGCATGGTCATCGTAACAAGGTATAATTGGTCATGACGTTTTTGAGAGAGAACAAGGAGAAAAAGGAGACAATTTAGAAAACGATAGTTCTATAAATAGAATCGATTTGAAGCTGTTGAGTTAGTTATGATAGGAACATGTTACAGGCAACTCAAAGCTGAAACAGGTGTTTTGGGATCCTTATGATGGCAATACCTTCTTTGAATGGAATTTGTAATTTCTTATGATGGCATTACTGTATTATCCATCTATATACCAAGACAAATAATTGCACTCTTGCATTTTGATGGCTGTTGTACACTAACAATATTATAGTCGTCAAATAATATTGTCATCGAACTAGCTTGGAATTTTTAAATGCAATTTTGAACTTTAGCAACAGTTTTATCTATATTGATGGCTGTTATTATTTTGCTGAAATTTACACAAAAAAACATAAGACTAGTGAATAGGATTAAAATAGCATCTACAGGCTTAACATGTCCTATTAAAACTGAATCCATCAAAATTGAGATTGCAATTTTTGAATAGTGCAATTTTTACTCTTAACACTCAACAGTTTTCGAGACCCAAATTTTGGAGTCCTCCAATTTTTTGACAAGTTCATACAAGCGTGTGATCTCCTTTCATAAATCTGAAAACATTGTATTGCAAAATACCAGCAGTAAGTAAGATGTAACTGCACATACGTTACCACAACATCGAAGGGCAGGCGTTTATTGTATAATAGAGATAGATTTAATATTGCGCAATAATATTCGATTATTCGATTCGATTCGGCGAAAATATTCGATTCGAATCAAAAAATTATTCGATTTTGGACAGCCCTATCAAATAGCGACTGAAAATGTCGTTTCGGAGATCATAAACTTCAAATTTTATCGACAAAATTTCATGTATTATAAGACTTTCATTAAAAACAAAATCACACAAGGAAATTTTCAACATTTTTTGTGCCTCACCTTGAAATGGATCAATATGTTGAAAACATAGCAAAATACAATTGAAGTGGTGGCAATAGGCAGCAATTTATCATAGATGATTGTGACAGGATACCTAAAATACAGCAGTGCTGAATATCCTAGAATTGTGAGCAGGAGAGTGTAGAAAGCTGAAAAAAATAAAAAATAAGTTTTATAAAGAGCGCAATGACGATTAAAAAAAAACAATTTCTTGCCATGTTGAATTAAAACAAGAGTCCAAAATGATTTTGAATTGAGTGGAATTCTATAGTAGTATACTTTGAAATCTAGAACTTAGGAATAATATACAAGAGTTTCATTTGAAAAATTATCATTTTAGTATGACTAAAAAACCCCATTTAATTTCTGAAAACTGCAAATAAAAATTAAAAACCAATCAAATCATTGTTCATCTCTACTTTTTTTTTCTCCAAATTTCAAAATCATTGAATATAGGTAGGACTTGTACATATTTTTTTTTAACATGATCTAATATTTTTACAATATCCCATATTTGAAAATATTATTTTTTAATATATTATTTTACAATGGTAAATTATTTTGTTTTGAACATCCCCGAGAGAAACTTTAAACCGTTCAAATTCTATATCACAAATGCGATCTTTTTGAATCATTGCCAGAAGTAAGATTGGTTTGAAGATAATCGACACAGTATCACCACATATAACAGAATGAGAATCATATTACATAGCCTACTACGGACCATTATTGGTATAACACGCTAACAAATAGTTTATCTGTGACTCAAAAAATGGAAAAAACATTCAAACCTATGAATATAAAAATGAAGAATAAACAAAACCTATTTCGAATGTAAACTACACTTGGCCAATAAAACGATACCATTATTGTTCTATTTTGAAGATGAGTCATTTTTGGTTTTGCATGAATAGGGTATTTTTCATGACGCCGCAGTTCAGACATAGACAAAGCAATAATTCGAATTTATGTAGACAAAGCAATAATTCGAATTTATGTTGTATATGTGAAAGTGGATAATAGTAAGACATGCAACTCTCAATGATAAATAGTATATACGGTAGCTGAGAAATGAAATTTGTAAGAGTGCTACTTACCACTAATCCTATATTCCGTCTTGCTTCCAGAATATGTCCTTGGTCCTTCAACAATTTGTCCGAGAGGTAGAGAGTATACGAAGGCATGAAATAAAAAGTACTCGACAACGATCAGAATGGCAGTTGGATCGTAGTATGCCTTCAGAGTTTGGGGTATTTTGGTCAGTGAGAACTGAAAATGGAATATCGGTATGAAAAATGAATAATATGATAATAGACATAGGCCTTAATATGGTTAAGCATTGTTAACTGTGACAACATTGCAGATTCAAATCTCAGGGTCGAAACCCATGTCCACCTTCCCACCCTCGGTAAATCAATTGGGTTAGCGAAATGACGAACAGTAAAGACCCTGGTCCTTCCAAAATAGAGTAGTTTCATAGCAGTGGCTTGTGGAAAGCATTGTTCAAACCAAGAGGTGTATTGATACGTTGAATGAAAAACAAAAAAATCCAAATTTCTTATTCAAAGTTCAATAATAAATTTTTTTTAAACATATAAAATAAATGCATTATATATCTGCATTACCATATATAATGAACTTCAGTGAAATTTGACATATGGTATTTAATTCAGTCAAAAAAAATTGGGTTCAAATAACTTTTTTTAGATATTTTAATATGATCTTCTCGGCTGCAAAATAATAATATATGTTATGTAGTGTTATATATGTTATTATGCTACATCAAACTTGGAAATTGGCAAAGAGAGTAATTTATCAGAAAAAAAATCAATGAATTCAATTGTGTGTATCTAATACTCCTGACATTATGAATTTAGATTACCGTATACAATTCACATTTGTTGTAGGAACAGCATGATAACAATGCAATGATTGCAAGTGGAGTAAACAGATACTGGAACAAAATTCCGAACGGTCCTCCAAACTCATATTCATGTCGAATCTGTTTCTTGACAGATTCAATTGTTTTCCTTGCTTCCAAAACTGCTGTGTCAGCTCGTTGTTTTGCTTCGTCGTTGTTGTCAAGTTTTTCCAGCGTAATTTTGGATTGGTAGCTTCTGGTCGTAACCTATCAATAATAATAAAAGCATTGATGAATGTGAAACTGTCTTGTCTTTTTCAATTTTTTAATATCACTATACTAAAAACTAATGCACTCCTCATTTCCTGCCATGCCCGAAGCCATCAAGTAGAGAAGTATAAGCAGCAGTACATATTGTTACCTGTACAATGTAGGGCGTGCATCAAATTTACATTAGAGTGGATAATGTGTAGCATTTCACTTTACATTTTACCCAATATGGAGATTTTTACAATATTTTAGAGCAGTTACAAAAATCTATGCATACATGGATACTACATATGCTTTAGATCCCAAGTTTATAATGAACATACTTGCAGCATCTCAATACGTCCTGTTTTAATCTGCCTAAGGTTTCAGTAAAAATCTTATTATATACACACAACAACACAGATTGTGAATTCCCAGCAGAAAAAAATGTTGAGAAAAACCCAAATGTGAATATACTATCATATATTTTGTTGACATTTTAGATGAATGATTATTATGAATCTGCTTTGAATTACTGTATAATCACATCAGGTGATAGATTGTGTGTATAAGATAAGAATTCATGAAATCGATTGCTATATCTGTGATTAGAAATTCTGAGATAAAACTATCTTGACTATAAAGCAAATAATTCACTTTCATCATATGTTTGTGTCGAAAAAAAACTGCAATTATTCTCATCGATAATGGTGGGCACTGAGCACTAAGATGAATCAATACCTGAAGAGGCATTAGTCAAGTTCAAGTACATAGATTTGAATGTATGCTGACTGATACTGAACAAACAAGCAAATAGAGCATAACGCAACATTGAGAAAATAGATAATGGTAAGATATTCTGGTTTGGCCTAAATTATCAAATTTCCATGACCCCACCTAACCCAGAAAGTAATAAATTGGGTAGGCGATGCCGAACTGTAATGATATCGGCCCTTTCAAATACCAATAAGAGGGCTTTAACCCAAAGGACTAAACTTAAAAAAAACTTTTTCGAGAAAATGAGGCAACTATATATTTTCGACTTTTAAACAAATTTATCTTCTATTGAAATACTCATAGATGGCTTCAAACTTTAATTAGAAAAGCAGCTACTTATTTTTAATGATTTTAATTGAAATTTTTTTTAGATATCAGTGGCTCCTTGTTTTGGTCAAGTCAGGGCCTTGGTCAAAAATGAACAAGCGTCATCTAAAAAAGTTTATTATTTAAACACTCTGTGAAATACAGATGTACAAACCTTTCTGACTTCTTCACCCTTTTGTTCAGTTGTTCTCATTCTGTCACTTCTAATCAAAGTCACTCTGGAAGGAGATAAATTGACTTTCGTTTCATCAGAGGATGAAGATGTAGTAGTTGAAAGGGACTTGTTAATACGACGAGTAACTTTTTTCTTCTCAGAAGTTGCAGCTTTTTGTCTCGGCTTTCTGGCAGGACTGCGTGCAGGAGACCTGGATCTCGATCGACGACCTCTTGATGGAGACTTGGATTTTCTCCTAAATGCAGATTCGTTCTGAAAAAAATAAAAAAAATAAATCTGAGTGAAATAAGTTTGGTTTGAAGTTTTAAAAACATTTCTATTTATGAAGAAGCAATGAGACAATTTTCACGACAAAGCATAAAAAAGAGGTAGGGTGGTGCAGCCAGTCTGCGGACGAATTCATTCCAATCGCTATAAAACAAAAACCAACATTTCTAACCCGTTCATTTTTTTATCGTATGTGCATTGGCATTTATTCTACACACTACACCTCGAATTAAATTTTTACGACCAGGGGTTAAAGATACACAAACCACCAAAGTACGACACTCAGAAGACGAATTTGCGACCAAACGACCAGTGTGCGACCACGGATTTCAAGCCTCGAACATAGTTTCTGCTGCATCGAGACTACAGCATACGTAGCCATGCGTGAAAAAATTGGGCTTCTAATTGCATTTCTGACCGTCATATATTTTAAGAATGTGGTTATTTCGAACACAACTCGTCAAATTACAAACAAAGCACCGCATCGCAGCAATCAAACACACAAAAACACGATGGTCGCAAATTGGTCGACAAAGATAATATCGACGTATTGGAAATGCGCACCCCCCCATTCCCCCTCCTTTAAATGTAGAAAATACGAAACTTTAGAGATGATTGAAAGAAGCACAATTCTACCCACCTGACAAGTTTCATCTTTTTATCTCTCATATTTCTATGGAATTTCAAGCTTTCCTAAAGGGACAATGGGTAGTTCTTCGGTCGGGTTTTCGGTCGTAACTTCGTTGTTTGTGGCCGCATTTTAGTGTAATTTCGTAGAGCTACGAAGGATAAGTGGTCGATAGCGCGTGAGAAATATTGTCGCGGTTCATTAATTTTTTCGGCATTAATTAAATCGCTGAAGTTGATGGCCGCAAAGTGGCTAAGCCACCCTAGATTCAAGTTAGTAATTGCAGAATTGACTTCGACATCATATAAAAACATAAACTTCGTATAGTTTCAAATCACCCCTATACTGCTATGAAATATTTTAATTTCGATTTTCAGATAACTTACAGATGACAAGATTACTTTTCAAACTACTGAACTATTAAAAAATGAAAGAATTGGAGATGTCTCGTATTGAAGCCATTGATTGCTGCATTGCAAAAAACTGAAAATGCAATTAGCTTTTGGGAACTGGTCAAATTTAGCAGGTATTTAGTAGCACCTTTTAGTATTATCTTAAACCAAGAACAAAATAATGGAGCAGTATATCTACTTAAATACTAAACTTACTTTAAGCAAACATGGCAATTACGGTACGCGTGGGTATTTTATGTTCAGATTTTTGCAAATTTTGCTATTGGAAAATTAAAAACAACTACTGAAATATTCTTTTTGTACCTACTCTTAGGTAAGATAAACTACAGAACTACTTAATTCTGCCTCAATTCAGCAATTGTTTGAGTCAGACAAAATAAAAATTTTATTAAATTCAAATTTAAACAATATCTTTACATTCTTACCGCCAGATAGTTTAGAGGAATATCCATTTCGGTTCCATCTTCATACAGAACCTCGGCGGAATCATCGTCCTCATTAATCTTTTTTATGGTGGCGTGAAAATACAACGAACTGCCTGGCCATCTTGCCATTACTTTATCTCCCTCCTTAAACCTCATCGTGTCGTTTGATAGTTATCTCTTTTTACAGTCCGTTGCATGTAAAATTATACTTAAGCCCAACGCTGGTTATATAATGAATTGCAGATATAGTTAATCAAAATATGAATGTCAAAAAAGAGCAAAATACACGCCCTTTGAAAACCCTCGATCGGGAAGAGAAAGCGGCGCCGTTTTGCTCAAGCGCACAAGTTTGCTTTGAATGAAATTTCGACCAATCATCGCCCGCGATTTTACTACACGATGATGACGTCTTGATAACAAAACAAAACTCACGCCTTATCATTTATTTTTTCACCCGGCGTCGGCACGCTCAAAGATCGAAAGTAACGCGCAATCAGTCAGTAATTTATTTCTTCACCATGCTGAAAGTACGAACACAGTAAAAATCATGGTAATTAGCACGTTAAATTCTTAGAATACCATGCATTTCAAATATCTGATAAATGGTGCAAGACTTAAGCGACATGGTAGTCGTTGCCATCATAATGCTAAATTTAAAAGCTCTGTTTGAATGGCGATGGCAAATTCACGAAAAGCAGGCGGTTGGCATATTCAGATTTATTTCTAAAATTTGAATTATTGGCGTTGTCGGTAGTTCAAAGACACTCCAGGTTTGATTTGTTTTGCAGTAAATGTGCCTATAATGTCATTGAGTATCGGTATCATTTACATATCACACCTTGGGCCGCGATTATGATATACCGGGGCAATGAGTTTATGTTCTCATTGATATGGGTTAGCATATAGAAAATTGTTTATTTCAGCTCCATATTCAGCATGACCGCGACAAAATAATCGATAAAAACTGATTATAGAATTAGGAATCACGAGTAAAACCTCAAGTATGGAGTAACTTTCAACTGCATTCTCTGGTGATATTAATCGTGATGTAGATGTACATAATTGATAATATCCGTATCTGATGTGTGACTGGCAAATGTCTGTCCAAAATGGGAATTATTCAGAGTCATGTCACCGGAACTTCGATGTGGAAATTAAAATAATGATATCTGACCACAGAAACGTTTCACAATATTGGAACATCTCAAAAATATCTGCAATTGCCATGTCAGGTTATTCATATGTTTGTGCACAACATACAACTATATTATACCAAGTCCTCATTCATGTATGCAACCATCTTGTGTTTGCACTCTAATAAGCATGTTCTCATGACATCCTTACAAACTCTTTAAAACCCTGGGGAGCCCTCATACCTACAAATTTCTGAACAAATTGTGCCCACAAAACCTTGGAACAAAAGAAGTGACAACCAAAAGTGATCCAATAACAAAATTTGACTGATGGGCTAAAAACTTGATAACTACCTAATATCTGCACATAGCACCAAGCCGCCAATCTTCAGTAACTTCAATTTATAGAAAACTATGCTAAAGTAGGTCAACAATATAGATCCTAATACATTTTACCTCATTGTTGGAACCCCCAAGAAAATATCTGAAGTCACAAATTGCCATGTCCTATTTTTCATTTGTTTGTGCACAACATACAAACCAGCTATCTAGCTCTCACTCACGTATGCAACACCCATACTTTGGGTCATTGTCGTACCCACAAATCCCGACCCAGTCGTGCCACAAAACCTTGAAACAATAAGGAATAACAACAAAAAGTGATCCAATAACGAAATTTATTCTGAAAATCAACCTTTGGGCAAAGTCAACATATGTAAAATGCCATTAATACACACCGGAGTGGTCTCTTTAACCCGTCATAGGGCGCTAAAATATGCAATTTGTCTTGTTTTGTTTCAAATTAAAATGTAGTGAAAGTATTGAAGGGAATTTTCTTTTCAGTGAAAACTTAATGATGTCGATCGAAATAAAATTTTAAGAATCACTCCAAATTGAAGAAAGTATTTACTAAGCATCACAAGGAATTTAACGTGCCACTGCTGCAACATCCCCAACACAAAAAGATAAAGAATTTGACCAATCAATACCCGATATATGCTATGACAATATAGAACAAATTGGCAAGGAAAAAAAAATAATAATATATTTAATAATGAATAAAATTGTCAAGACCACATAGAATGGTAGACAGAAATATGAGACACATACACACACTGCAAAATTAATTTATGTGTAATTTAGTAATATATACCACATAATAAAACCATAATTTATGTTAAGCTTATTTTCCCATGAATAACACTCAAATACTCATATGACCTGAAATATAATGACCATCTCAATACAATGAACTTCCATTTGTCATATAATCTTATGGGCTGGACAGTCCAGTCATCAAATCCATTAACAATAGGTTTGATGAGCACCAAATACACAAATTTTGTTTCAGTATGTCATGGACATAATATATAAAGTATTTAAAAAGTACTATAAAATGAATAACATAGAAAGCAGAGTACGAGCGGCACCAAATATATATAAAGTAAAGGGTGAAGGGTGGAGAAATCTTCAAACTATAGCAATAATATTATAGCAATGACAGAGATAAATAAACAAAACAAAAAACAGTAGAATATGATATTTTTCAATTAACAAATTTTGCAAACAAAGTAAATAACCATTGCATAAAAATATATATTAATCGTCTGCGAAGCGTTGCAGCAAATTGCACTTAGGAAAGCTACTCCTGCTACTAGACTGATGGCATTTTAATGTTTGTTTATCAATTTTCTATATGATGGCCAAAAAGAGCAGCAATATATATACCGGTAATCAGAATTTAAAACTTTGGTTTAAAAAACCTTCCAAGTATGTAGAACTGTAGTAAACCAAGAGATATCAAATTCTGTGACAGTTTTTCTCACCCCCTTTTCTGGGTATATTTCTCAAAACTGGGGTGAACATTTTTTATGAAGTTCATTACTCATCAAATGACTTCATGGTACCATTGATGTTTGAGAAACACTGATAATATTATAAGTTAAATGGTAGCAAAATACCATGGACATCCATTTCGAAGCAGCAAATTTTCGAGGCTCTCTCTCAACTATGGGGATAGGTATTAGGATTAAGATTGCTAAGATCAAATGGCGAACCACGGCCTCTCGTCATCATATGGCGAACTCACGGCTTCCAGTGTTGAATATAGCATTAGTTTCAGATATTTATTTTCGTTGTGCATTATATACCTGGTTGTATGTAGATCATTTACATATTACTCTGATGTAAAATATACGGTAATAATGCTATTAATGCAGAGACAAATTATGCCAAATGGTAACTCTTATTAAAACAATCCAGGAACACGTCAAGTATCATGGGCAATGACAACAATGGAATGCAAAAAAACAAAAGTTAGGTAGCGATAATAAATATGGAGATGTACTATACTGCAGCTCTGAATGTAGGTAGCAAAATAAGAACATAAATCCAAAGAGCAATGAATCAAAATGCAAAAGTCTACAATGTAAACCACAGAGAAATAATAAGATAACAGCAAGTTGTGTCATCAGGCCAAGTGACAAACGAGAGAACAATTCAAATATCATAACATATTAAATTTGTAATGAATTGAATAAGTAGAAGCCTCATAATCATATTGAATTCATATTCAAATTCAGTTTCTGTAAAGATAAATATATTTGTAATTCCACGTCAAAATCAAAGATGTATTCGAAATAGCGATAGTTACATTCAAATTTCCCCACGAATCTATGGTTTCCCATAAGTGAAAAGGTGAAGAATATGATGTCCACACATAAGTAGCAGTATCCACTGGGAACTGAGCAGCTCCTGATATCCTAATTCTTAACAATGTAGGATAAAGGTTAACAAAGTGAAAAAATAAATAAAACATGGAACATAATTTACAACAAGTAAAACAGCTGGCAATATTGATGGGGTGCAGTGAAATTATAATATAAATATGATCAATTATGAGAAAAATATAATATAATAAAGAAAGTAAGATTCAGATTGCTATTGGAGACTGGTGACAAGCAGTTGAGAATATCAAATTTTCAATGTCTCTTATTGTATACATTCAAAACCTGGTTACTGATATTTGAAAATGGCTCCAATTAAATGAGATTCATAAGAGAACATAAATGAAGGAACAGATTTTGCATTGAGCAGTATAATTAAAGGTATTCTGCTAGAATTCAGTGAATAAATTAAGTGATAAATTCATACAATCTTCTTATATGGGAATTGCTTATATCAAATGAAGAAAAATTAATATTGACATCACAAATTAGTAATGTGGGAATATAATGTTAAAATTTTAACATGTAAAGACCAAAATGACAATATAGCACCAGGTCAAAGCTGAGCACCTTCAGTTTAACGATGTCCCAAACTTGCCAACTGACACACGCTTTTAAACAGAACTTGAAGTCTGTGATACATAAAAATTAAATTCTTAGATCTGCTTTACAAAGCAAATCATATGATAAAAAAAAGGGAAACACTATCGAAAAAACACGAACAATACAAACAGATAAGATCAGCCATACACTGAAAAAAATGTCAAAAAAACAAAATTTGAATAAAAAACATTTAAGAACTTAATGGCAGCAAGAACATAATAATGCAGATATAATATTTATTCAATTAAAGATCTTTCGCTACTTTTTCTTCTTACTAATGATAAATTGAAAACTACGCTTTATTTTAGACTTGCAATAAGTCTAATCTAATGATATTAATCAAATCAAAGTTATTTGTTCCACTTAAATCTGACACCTTTTCATTCAAATGAAATTCAATTTTTAAAAGATAATAAAGAAACCAGGATGGTTAACAATTTTACACTGGATGATGACATAAATATAATCAATTCTAAAAATTGTAAATTTGATACAGTGATATAAACAGACAAATAAGTTGGTATTCAAATACGCATCGGGTGATGATCCCGATTCACTACTTTTCCCCAGGGTGAATAGATATAGACCAGAGCTTCTCAAACTGGGGGTTGTGTAACAAATTTTAGGGGTCACAAAGAGTACACCAATTTCACACAAAGTATTATTATATCTATTGTACTTTTGGTTCGAAACTACAAAACATATATGTCACCATTTCGAGAGAATACATAGGATCGGAGAAGCGCACATGCATAACAATGCAGACTTGATGAGAGTCGCGGAAAGTTTTAATATATTGGTAGGGGTTGGGAAGCCCTGATATAGACCATGCCAAAAAAGCAAGATTACAATTACAGTCTCTCCAAATG